CGCCCCCGCCAGAGTTCACAGAGTCGTTCGAAGACATGTGTGTCTGCCGCACTAGACTATGACGTTAACGCCACAAGAACTCTAGAGTGTTGATTGGCCCCAAGCCGAGTGCTGCTGGATGAGCACGGCTGTCCCGTTTGACAATGTGAAGAGATGGTAAAGTCGTTTTATTGGTCGTCCTCGTAGACACAAGCAACGGAAGAGAGTGGGCACCCAGGTGCATCACAAACACCGAGGCACGCGAGCAACAGTCGCAAGACGCATTCGGAACTCGGAATACATGACAGCAAGGAATGCGCGACAACTTGCCAAAGATCCTACTACCGGAGATACCCCGAAGATCCAAATGACCGATGGACGGTCACGCACTTGCGCACCTGCATAGCTCAAAACCACACATGAGTACTACCGCAGTAGCCTTCGTAAGGATGGCATAATCCACCTCACGAACAATGGCTCCAGGAGCTATTGGCGGAGCTGTGTAGGTCGTGGCCTGACAGGTGGGACGAGTGTGTTTCACCGTCGATTTGGATCAAGCGTACACTGCCAGACACTTCGCTCCCCTCCCACATGACCCCTTTCGAGCTGCTGTTCGGCCGCAAGCCCCGCACGACTTTGGACTCGTTAGTGCCTCTCACAGACGAGGCAGGACAGGAGCGAGGCCTTGACAATTTCGTGGAGCGACGCAAGCAGAATCTCCGCGAAGTACGGCTGGCACTCGAGAAGCGCCACGAGTTGCAGGTAGCGGCGCGGGCGAAAGCCAACGCGTCGATCGAGCGGTCATCCGCAGGAGTGGCGGTGGGACAGGACAGCTTAGTGCTGGTCCGCGAGACCGACAGTCGACGACACCGAGATCGCAGAGGGAGGAAGCTGCAGCACGACTTGTACACAGGGCCCTGGAAAGTAACGGACGTGATACAACCGGGTCTTAGTGTAGGAGTCAGCATGCAGGGTAGAAAGAAGCGTAGCCGGAGAGTGTCTACCGCCGATGTTAAGCCTTTCCACCTTCGACCCCCCCCGCTCAGACATTCCATCGCCGACGAGTTCGCGACTTACGCTTCGGGACCCGATTTCAAACTCCCTGCGGGGGCCGCAGAGATGTTGGGATTTGTCTCCATTGCGGACTGCCGTAGAACCCGATCAACCTCTGGCGCTCAGTTAGTTTGGGAGTATAAGGGGGTGTCTGGAAATGGGGTGGTGTCGGACTGGGTGTCAGAAGAGGTCATGCTGCAGAGTTTCACGCCCCTTCAGTTGGATGGCTTCGTCGCACTGTGGCATCTGTACTACCCGCAACGCGCCACCGATCCTTTGCCTGTCTTACCCAAGTCCCGTGCCCCGCTGTCGCACGCCGAAGCTCTGAAGCTGTTTCCGATAGGTTTCACCTTTTGGAAGGAGCTGGATGGAGGAATCAGGTTGCAAGGCCAGGTGTACGACTATCTCCACCCTTACTGGCGTGTACGTTACAACGACCAGAACTGGGAAGAGCTCTCCCGCCGAGAGCTGGAGCGACTGGCGGAGTAGCGGCCAATGGCTTGCGTGGCCGGACTATGGTGCCTTTCGATTGCAGAACGTTCGTTTCTTAGACGGGGCACGGCCGTTTTCAGGTGGTCCAGAGACGCCAGTACACGAGTCGGTTTTGCGCTGCGTTGGGTGGTAGGATGTAGGTGTTGATTCCTAGGGATAGTGCGTCCGTATGCAGGCAGTCTTACTATGCCCGTACACTGGTCGGTACGTGCTGATTCCCCCGATGCGTGTGGGTGGTAGTTGGAAGCCCTAGGAATAGTGCGTCCGTATGCAGGTAGTTCTACAATACCCGTACACTAGTCGGCACGTTCTGATTCTCCCAATAGATAGTTAGTTTGGAGTATGTACCTTGCCGTAGCGCGCGTAGTTCACGGTTTCCTTTTGGCGAGTAGATTGTTTCGCGTGTCTAGACGTACTATTTTATTTAGCCCTTGTGAAGCGTAGGGTATTTTGAGTGTTGTGTGTGTCCTGATTGTACTTGTCTAGCCGGATGATTTGATACCTGGTTGCTGATTTTGCAGTACCCGGTAGCACCCTTGTGGGCACTTCGTAGTGGCGTCTTGATGCGTGGAGTGTGTTGATTTTGTGTCGTAGGTGTACGAGTGCCATCGCAGTGATCGAATTGTACGGTTGCAGCTGCGGTGTGGTTTTGGTTTTGGTTTGGTGTTGTAGGTGCTTTGCGCAATGGGATTATCCCTGGATGGCCAGGTTTTTCCCGCGCTGTAGATGAGGGTCGGGCCAGCCACTACAGTGAATTCACCAAGTGAAGGACGGTTTTTTGTAAGAGTATTTTACGTCCAAGTGGCACTTGGTGTTTTCGGTCGCTGGCCTGAATTCTTTGACCCTCGGGATGGGGGCGAAGGGTTTCTCCCGGACACCGGGTTTTTCCTTCGCACAAGTCGATGTCGGGCCTGTTCAAAGCGCAGTGAGAATGTCGAGACGAGCGGTTTTTATGTAGGTTTTTTCGCTGTCCCCTCTCGATATTCTCGGTCGAACTTTCGGTCCAACTTATAGGCATCGCATGGTAGTTTTTCAAGAGGAAGTGCGCCACTTTGCGGTGTCCGCAATTCCCGCTACCGTTTAGCATGTGACAGCTGACAAATAGCTGTTCATGCTAGTGGGGATGTCACGGTTAATTTAGTTACGGTTTCAAGGAGTTGCACCTTTGGGAGGTTTGCATTATGCCCATAGGGTGCTGTATAGTTCTGTACATTCCGCAGAGCTCCTTGTAGAGCGTGTCGCCCGCGCACACGCTGCTCACTTCCTTTGTTGGCACTTGTGCTTAGCAATAATCAAAGCGAATACCGTATCCACGACCGGAGACCTTCTCCACGTTCCACAAGCCTCCTTCTAGGCTTTCTCTACCGCTGTTCAAGCGCTCCTTCGAACTCGGTGCAAGAGCGAGAGACTGCTACCAACAGGTCGGTAGCTGTTTAGTCACCATTTAGTCATGCGTGGGATCCTCTCAGAAACCAGACATGTGCATATGTGGCCCCTGCGAGCCTTAAACCAGAAGCTCGAGTTTTCTCCTACAAGACCTTCTCAAGTCACAGGATCCCTCTCAGATTACAGTCTCTCCACTTGCTACATGACCGCGCGAGCCAAGAAATTACGCCTGTTGCTTGACTTTACTTTGGCAACACATCAACCAACCAACCCCATGGCGTTGAATGTGAACAGGGGGAGGTAACTCGAGAGACGGTCGGGGAGATGAATAACTACAGATGGATGCATAGTCTGTCTGTCTGTCTGTCTCCAGTGCACGCCAACCTAACGAAAGTACTATCCACGGTATACACTGAAGTCGTGTCGTCATCAATATCATCGCTGATGGGGTGGAAAACGAGAGCCTGATGCTGCTTGCTGCTGTCACCCACTTCACGCCAAACAAACAAACGTGTAACACAACGTACGGGTGTGGGTCAGTTGAGTCCAAAAACATCAAAACATGAAACTACATGATATGTGTACAGTAGTTATTATATGCATATTACAGAGGACAACAGACAAAAAAACACCCTGGCACAAAACACACTCAGATAAAACATGGAGTCGTCTCTTGTACTTCTATGTACCTAAAACACGGAGGATACTTTTTTTGCCTATAGCGACTAGACTATAGTATTTTTTGTAGCCTGTTTTTTTTCGCCCTCGGGGTGGTTTCGTGTGTCGTATACAAACGCTCCTCCTTCCGCTTTGTATCGGACCTTGTGTTGAAACTAACTGTTTTGTTATGTTTGTTTATGTTTGTTATTGCGTCCAGTCCGTTCGTGTCCAGTCTTTCTCACGGTATTCGCGCCCCCTCTCACGCAACATTCATTATTCCTAGTCGACGGAAGGATTTGACACGCGCGGATCGATGAACTGAACTCTTTTCTAGCTGTGCAGCAGAGATCTACGCCATGACGGCCAACAAGAGGGGGCGAAACCGGCGATGGGCCTTTCCTTTCGCGTCGCGGAAGTACCACAGCCAGCCTCGCCTCGCTATACATGAACACCACAAAAAAACTCGATCATGGCCAAATGAAAAAAATTGTACTTCCAGCCCCGATGTTGTGGCCCTCTTGCGGCAGGGCACTTAACTGTCCACTGACTCGAATACATGTACGTTTGCGGATGCCAAAGGAGAAAAAAATACACGACTAGTCTATAAGCCTGGTACCACAATTCGTTTCTATTTTCTTCTTGTTTTCGTGGGTTCTTCATCGAAAACGCACACAATGCAGACAGATAGGGGCCGGAGACAAGAAACGTCAAAATTGGGTGGAGCCTCAATTTCTTATTCTGGGCAGGAAGGACCAGCCGAAGTCGGTCAATTTCTTAAAACGCATTTCTTATTCCTTTGGGCTGTCGCATCCTGTTGATTCTCCTATTCCTGCTGTATGTGTTTTCTTATTTCTGATCGCGAAGAATACAACACACCAAAAGCCCTCAGCTCGATGTGGCGAACATGGGGGTTGTGGCAGTACAGAAATACAGTAGCAGCAGCAGCAGTGGGTAGCGCAGCCCGCGGTGGCGCTGGGACGCGGGGGGCGCCGCGAAAATAACCACCTCTCCGTCGTTACCAAAAATTACATGACATGAGCTAGGTAGGAGGTGGGAGCATGGCAGCAGCATCAGCAGTGGGACGTTTTTTTGGACACGCTCCCCCAGCTTCTACCCCTTGTTTCTTTTGTCTTGGGGTATCGCACGATCATGTTTCTTATTGGGATGTTTCTTATGTTGTGCCCGAGATTGAGCTGTGTTTCTTAGGCCTTTTTTCTTATTTTCCGTGAAAGTTTGAGCCTTTTTTCTTGACAATTTTTTTCTTAACTGCGAGCCCCATCTGTACCCCGAATTTCACTGACGCGTGTCGTAGTATACGTCTTGACGTTAACGTAACCAGACATGAAACCATCCATAACCCGGAAGGGTAGATACACATGTCCGACAATACACATCAGTCACAGTACGTGTTGCACCGTCCAGGCTACTGTATGCTTTGAAAGTCCACATTTTTCTTCTTGCCACGTGTGAGTTGTGAGTCTTCACATCACCAACACCGCCAAGTTTCAAGTGCGAGACAAAAACGGTGGCATGCATACAAGCAAGATTAAGAGTATTTACTTGCCACCACCAAGGCGTAGATGACAACTGAATGCAGTTAGTTGCGGGTCTCTCCCGTCTACCAAGCCTCCAAAGCACTACGAAAGCAACACCGACATTTCCACACGGTAAATGTTTTCCTCCCCTATCCGTCCCGTGTAAAATCGAACTCAATCTGTGGGGATCAAGCAACCACCGCCAGCTCTCGGACAAGCAACATGACTTCATATTACTGGTGATGCGCTCTGTTTACCCTAGGAAACCCGACAACCTCTGCCCATCCAGCACACTTTGACAACGTCCGCGCATCCGGGGCTACGAAATGATCGACATGAGAGCTCGAGATAGGACAGCGGCCTTGTTGTGCCCTAGCTTGAAACGGCCCTTTTTTGTTTGCTTGCAACGCGTCAAATGCGTGCAGCTCGTACTTGATGCAGCAAATACGTGGAGCAGCAGTGGTGTGGGCCCGTGTTCCCCGCAACCATGGTCGCATCCTGGTGGTGTCAGGTAGCAAGCCATGCAAAGGCGACCCATTCAGAACGGCACGTCTCGGCAAGACGCATGGGCGTTGATGGTGGCACGGAAAAGGCAGCCGGCGAGACTATCGTGTTCGTGTGCAACGCAGCAATACGAAGAAGAAGGAGCCGTGGCAGCCGAGTCCTGCGTCCCCGCTCCGAGAAGAAAAGTAGATGCCGGCGTCCAGAGGCACTCCACGAAACGGAACGCCGTGTTCGCTCTCCCTAGTCGGTTCGTCTCAAGGCGAGAGCCTTGCGGAATCGTGACGTCAACACCAAGGCCTCGGTAGCGGCAAGCGCACCGCCCGCGCGTTTGCCTCCAAAGAACGAAGCCGCTGCCACGCTCGCCCCAGCAACGGTCACTGTCGCCGCCATCAACAACCACCCATGGCGGTTGAACCTGCGTTTTTTGGGCAAGATTCGGGAAGGTGTCAGGGGGGAACAGATCGACAGTAGCGAGGCCTAGCACCGGTGTTGCATGTTTGCGAATTGTTCCCTTGAAAAATCCATACAAAAATACCAACGACACTCCTAAGAGGTTTTCTTCGATTTTTGCAACGATTGTCCTGGCAGATTCTATGTAGACGGTGAATTGCAACGTGCCAAAGCGGGAGAGCTGTGGGTGATTCCTTCGAGACAGAAACAACACGCCCAATGTCGCTGAGCAAAACTTGGTGCTCAGGCCAGATGTAAGAGTCATGATAGCGTCAAAACATACGCAACACCCGCACGCCTTTGCCTGCGTGTGTCTAGTGGGACCGAGCTGTGTGCGGTTAACGCCCGTCTTCGGCCCCCGCAGCTTTTCAGGTGGCTTCGGTCCACGAGCCATGCCGCTCATTGTTCCGGGTACAAGCAAAAAGGCGCGCGTCAATACGTTCGCACGGGAATGCTAAGCCAAATGACAGCATGTTAGAGAATTAACCTTGGCTGCATCTCCATCCTGTGGTATCGCCTGCACATCTTCAAATGAGACCTAGCATTCATAACCTCCGTGGTGGCACTTACACTTGCACTCTGGTTAGCATTTTGCCAATTAGGTGTTGTCTACATCTTTTCGCCAGAGATACGTTCGTTTGAGGGTTACTGTAATAGTAGACAGGAAAAGACGGCTAAAGAACGCCTATGGTGATGCCATGGACTGGCATGGAGCCTAGCAAGAACAATCAAGGCATATACCTGTTCAACCTGATCTTCAGCTCCTCTCTGGAATTGACCTTAGGAAATGGAACATCCGGCACAGAGACGTCGAGGAACTTGCAGAGCGGCCCCCACCCCTGCTCCACCGAGAACTCGAGCAGCTAAAGTAGGACGACGATGGAGAGCGGCGATCCAAACAGGGGTAACAGAGGTGGCGGGGACGAATAGCCTAGTTCAAGGTATCGTGCGTAAATCGGCCGCACCCGTGCCTTGGAAACGAGACAAAGGCTCGCAGACAACAAAGAAGACATGGTCTCCTAGGCAACACAGCAGACATGAGAGCCGCAGATATGAATAGCGTTTACTATTGGCAATGGCAATGGTGTAATTACATATCGGTCGTTCACACTGTGTCTGTGAGACAAGATGGAAAAAAATACGTGGGACATGAACGCGTTCAGATAAACAAATGCACAAAACACCCACGGCAACACGAGATTGCCAATGGCGAGAAAAACGTTGGCCATGCACATGTACAGTATGTAGGGAAGCGACGGATGTGCGAGACCTGGATAACGAAAGCTTCTTGATGGGATACCTGTTGCTTACGTTGCCATCTGACACCAGCCTTTGCATCTGAACAACTGAATATACCGTTGAAACCGTACCGTACCGCAAACACATATTTAGGACAAGGCTGTTAGGCGGCTTACGCCGCCACGCTGAGAGAAGCGTTCCGCAAGACGCTTGTATCGGCGTTCGTTATGATTGGATGGCCGTCTGTTGTTGGTGCACTTGTCATTGCGCTTACTTACGTACGGTAGTCTGTTGCGACACCGAAGGGGTGGGAATGGATGCGTCCCCCGCGGAGTCCACAAATAAATTGGACACGCGCACTGGCGGCGAGCGCACAGGCGGCGAGCGTAAATGATGCAAAAATCACGAAGAAACCATGTAAACGAACGGCCGTAGGTTCGGAGATGAGGGGCTCACAGACTGAATGAGAAAGAAACCCCACGGAGTCCTCAATGAAGTCAAAATACGCTCGAACTGCATCGCATGGAGTAGTACTACAGTACGTGAAGGATCTTAACGACTTGCATCCGCTCCCTCCTGGAGTGCTCAGCAAGCAGCAACCGCTTTCTCTCTCGCCTGGACCGCATTTTGGAACATGCGAAAGTCCGACGTGCCAGGGAGCAGACTACTGGTGTGTTAGCGCGGAAAGAAAGAGAGACTGGCCTAAAGTCCTGTGAGAGGCGCAGTTAAAAGAGGTGTATGTATGTGTGGTGGATGGGGAGCAGAGGAAAGCGACAAAGGTTCCTCGAGCGAGCGAGAGAGAGCGGGAAAACGGGAATGGTCAACAAAGCAGACACGAAAACGGAATGAACAATATACTGCATGTGGGACATGTGAGAGGCAGAGACAGGCTGCTGTTGTTGTAAGAACCGACGACAGATTGGTATATGAGAGGGGAGAGAGAGACTGGCACGAAATAATGTGACGTGTGTGAAACGGCGAAAGGTTCCGTGCGACCGAGCCGGATGTGATGAACGAGCCAGACGCAACATGAGAAGGTATGAGAAACGGCGAGCTCCAAAGATGAGGAACAGATGGAAATGAGAACATGGAGCCCTGTGAGAGCCCCGAGAAGACCCGAAATGGAGCCCTCTCACCGTAGATCCAGACAGAGAGCCGCAAATAGATGTGTGCAGGGGAGGACAGAGCGACAGACGTCGTGTGATCGGAAAGCCGGAACGACCGGCCCATCCAGTCAAAGATCGGAACATATTGCCTGTGTTTCCTCGGAAGAACCTCTGCTTGGAGATATTGGATGGACCCAAACTGAAAAAAATGTACACAACACAACAACGCATGCATGTATTGAAACACGCATGTATTGAGAAAGCACTACGCTGCTCTTTACTGTTCTGTTGGGAAGAACAGCGTGTCGTAGTCCCGAAAAGCTGTGGCAACAGGAACGAATAGCAAAGATTCCCCGGAAAGAAGCGGAGAGATAATAGAGAGCCATAGACAGAGAGAGAGAGAGAGAGAGAGAGAGAGAGAGAGGGAGAGAGAGAGAGAGAGAGAGAGAGAGAGAGAGAGAGAGAGAGAGAGAGAGAGAGAGAGAGAGAGAGAGAGAGAGAGAGAGAGAGAGGCAGACAGACAGTCAGACAGACAGACGGAGACAGTGACAGGGCGAGAGATAACCAAAAGCCGAGAAGGTGTGTGTGGGAGAGAAGGTGGAACGAAATTGAATCGAAGTGAGAAAAGGGTCAAACGATGATTGTGAGAGGGCCTGAACAATCGGAAAATATTGCTCTGTGAGAGCCCGAAAAAACGGCATACTGGGCTCTCAGCCGTCCACGCGGAAAATGAATGGAACGTTCCTCACAGAATTCTCAGCTGATACAACTGTTGAAAAACGCTATTTGGGGGAGGTTGTATTAAGGAAACATAAATAGGTAGTATTCTAACATTTTCGTCATCTTTGATGTTTTTGTGGTTGTCCTCTGGTACTTCCAATTATTTGTGTTGCTTGGCCTCGCGTGTCGAATGGGAGCGGTGGGCTCCGTGTACTGCGCCAATCTCCGCCATCTATTCTTTGTCTGACGTGCCACTTGAAATCGTAACTGTGGAGCATTTCTTCGAGTTGACACTGCTATTGCGTTTGTCTTGGTAAGTCCGGGTCCTTGTGTTTTTCTTTAGTTATAGTAGGATGTGTGCCCTTTTGGAGGTACTCTTGTTAGCCTGCGACTCGGAAAGGCGTCTCCGTCGGACCAGGTACGTACGGATGTTAGAACGTACTGAACAAAGTCGAACCGTTACAGCTTTGGAGAGAGCCACAACAACGACCACGAGAAAAATATGCATACATCGAAACGATTTGGACAGGTTGCTACAGACCTTCCCAAACCCTGTCAGATCTCGGCTGTTTCGATCTATTCTTGGCGTCGTTTGTTTGCTGTCAACACGTATTTACCTCATCGTGGCAGCTCTTGTCGTACGCGATGTGGGAAAATCAGGTTTGTCGTCGATACATCTCTGGCGGTGTGTTTGCGTGGCCCATTGAACCAAGTCGATGCACCATTCGCCACATAATTTTATCGGCCCTGGCGCGCAATCGGGACCGGTCAAGTGGTCCCACTTTCGATGTCGCTTGACTGAAAAGAGGGGTCACATACCTCGCGTCCGTTGTCAGCACCGACGTGCGCCAAGACCTCCTTGTTGTGCCTGACGTAGTCAGCCTTGGCCTCGTCTTCTTCCATCGTGTGGGTCTTCATGTACCTCAGCATGTGCTTGTACAGACGGACGTCGGACTTGAGCACCTCCAGGAAGAAGATTCCTGGAGATATATTATACACGCGCACACACGCGATTAAATCCTCTTAGCATGAATCGACCCATTGGTCTGTGTGCGAGATCATAACCGCACCAAGGAGGGCAGGGACGAGACCGTCATTGATTGTGGGGTTGTTCTCGTGCTTGAGAGCACCCCGTCCCGCAGTTATTACGAGCGCGAGAGACTTTCCAGGGGTGCGAACCCAAGAAAGCTCGACGATTGCTGTATGTAATCGCGCCTTGTAACCTGAGCATGCCCACGTCCAGACCAACTCGACCAAAGAGACCGAAGTTAAAGGCGTCAAGAAGGCTGCTACGGACAGAGATAGGGATTATTTTACCCTCTCCGTAAGAGTTACCCAGTAACAACTACCAAATCCCGATCGGACGATTAGTGGGTATGGAAGGGCAACTTTGCGATCGGCGGCGATTGAAGTGGTGTCGTAAGGGAAAGAGCTTGAAACCGAGAAAAATCGGGGCGGAGGGGGGGCAAATCATGACATCCGAAAACCTGCAAAATACACGGGATTCTGGAGCTTTCGTCAGGATATCAACAACGTCATTCACGTTATTGGGCTAAAACTGGAGCAGGGGGAGAATGGTATGGCGTGAAAGCAAGACGTTACGTGCGACAAAAACATAGTTCGCCGTAAATGTGCATGTAAGCATTGGAGAAGAGCTTCTTGCCGTTGTACTGCTATGAACTAATCTTTCAGGAGTGGCGGCGCTCTCTCTCTCGCTCGAGGCCTTCCTTCATCGGTATCATCGATATTCGGGTTTCACCGTTTCACTCCTTGTCACCAGCGACGTATACTCCTGTCGTTACTATACCCGTGCATTGTAGGAAAGAGCAGATACCGACGTGAAGGCAACACCGTAACCAACGCCAACGGCAGCACAAAACCACCACCATCACCAACCATGCTACGACAAACATCTAGTCTTGAAGAAAGAGTTTCGGGGTGTAGTGCTTGAGACAACCCATGCGTGCGCCAAGGACGCGAGAAGAGGTTGGTCCTGCTGTACGTTGGTCTACTCACCCCATCCCCCGAGGACAGGGTTCTTGGTGTGGATGGAAGCCACCATGCTGTTCCACCAAGCATCTGGGTCCCTCACGGTCATGATGACCTTCGCGTCCGGGTTCGATTGCAAGACCTCCTGTCAGGCAACGGAGATCACGGAGATCACGACCACCCCGAGTGAGGTGAGGCACACACGAAGAATGCCTATTTTCGAGCCACTGACAAGAAACTCACCAATGAACAACGTCCTACCAGTGCCATCCATCCCTACATAACGGCCCGTCCATTTCGCCTGACGACCTTGAAAGGCATACATATCTGATGAATTATTTCTGCGTAGCCGATCCGTCATGGGAACTCTTCCTTTGAGAGAGACAAAGTCGTACGGTAGATGGCACATACAACCGACGGAAACAATAGGACAAACAAAGAGAAAAATGCCACCCGTAGCGGAATGGATTTGTAGCGCTACGAACGAGGGGCAGTGTGCAAGCTGCGGAGGCAGAGGAGATGATGACGAATGGCGCTCATTGTTTTTCGGCCACGACAGGCGTTTTGTAAACATGCCTCCTGAAACAAAATGGAAACCTGATGCGAAGGAAAAAAACCAAGAAATTGTCGAACTGACAGCTGCTTACATGTGTGCCCGCTTGTAGATCTAGGGGCGAGATTGTCGCAGGCGCTAGCGGCAAGCGGAGCCCACGACAATGCAAACGCATGCAACTTTTAGAACATACGCATGACGAACCTTGTAGAAACTTGCCGCCGGCCAATCCACGACCGCCTTGTATCCGTCCAATATTTTGTTGACGTCGAGCCCGCGGCCCTGGAACCCATCCACCCACAGCTGTGTTTACCACACGAGGAAACAAGGGGAAAAGAAAATGGACGTGGTAACAAACAAGACGTGAGAGAAGGGGATACGAAACGAGGTGTCCGAACAAGAAACAAGCCGAACAGAAAATACCACGTCAGTGTCTATGAAAGTATCAAAAAATAGCGCCGACGGAAACGCTTCACGGAAAGCCCACGCTTGGCACGGGGATTAGCAGTGCGAGCAGTGGAATCAGCACGGGATGCTAAAGACACCAGCGGGAGCTCCATAATCCGGGGTCGGGCGCAGGCAGCAGCAGCAGCAGCAGCAATGGCAGAGGCTCAGCGTAACGCTTCCCCCGTCTTCCATTCAAACAGATGCGCGGCAATTGACCCTGCCTGGGTGTTTACCGGTATGATTCTACCAACACATGCCAAGGAAGGCTTGGAAATTAATACCCGTGCCATCCAAGTCCTTTGGTACGGCCAATGGAAAGTCTCACCCGAGTCACAAAACTGTCCGAAAGCTCAAATGTTCGGATGAAACTGTCGCATAGGATAGGATAAGGTTGAGGGTATACCCTAACATCCACGCTATCGGAAAATCCCTGTCCGTCGCATGGTGCTCTTTTCTTCTTTCTGAAGGTCCCGCGTGCTCAAACCGATGGCGGTGCCTGCCTTCATACCCTACGGGCTCGAGTCTACCCCTCCTTACGCTATTGCCTCCAAACCGGGGTAGGTGACACACGAGGATGCTCCCCTCTGGTGGTGTTTCTCTCAACCTGATTTAACAGGCGATTCTGCCCCCGTGCATCCGCTTGTTTGTCTCTCCTACAGGCCCCCAATGGTCGTGTTTCATCGAGGCTGGCTTCTTCTGACTTAAGACGCGTATTAGAACCTACTTCTCGTTTTTGTCGCGAGAACACACGGACGGTGTACTAGCCAGTGGGATCGAAGAGCTACCATGCTATTCATCCTCTCTTGGGACACGCCCAAATCTTTTGCTGTCGTTCCAAGCGAATATTCTTCTAGATAGTTGAAGGAGGCAATGGTTGAGAGCATAGGCTTGAGGTTATCATAGGAACTTCACACTGCACCACTCGCCTGTGGGTGATTCTTCAGGTGGCTCTCAACTATGCTGACCACTGTTGTTGGCGCCGTTGTTCAGTTTTGTTGACGTCATCACGTATCATGGCGACAGCAGCAGTGGTCGACATCACGATCGTGGTGTTATGTTGGAGCACAAAGCGTTCAGGACATCGTAGTTATCGTAATCGTTTTCTCAAACACGAAAAGGTGTGAGACCTGCTTAATGGTACTCATATTTTCCATACACCTTGTCAAAAAATAGATAAATGGGGGGTTCGTGGCTGGTCACAGACCCCCCCTACGACAACGACAAGATGGAAACAAAGATGACGCCAATATTTGAGCTCTACAACACACACAACACAAAAGTTCCAGGGCGAGTACATGTAGCGTTAGAACAAGAGGTGGAGAGCATGATATTCAGCAAATACAATTTCGTAAACCGTTGATATGCCAAAAGAGGGAATCGTCCTCGACAGGCATTGGGGAGGTTGCATGTATCCTTCTCCACATATCATAAACCTTAACCATTCAACCACAACAAACAGAACGACAGCCAGCCAGCCAGCCAGCCAGCCAGCCAGCCAGCCAGGTAGACAAACAGACAGACAAACATCAGACAGACAGACAGACAGACAGACAGACAGGCCGACATGCCTTTCCAGAAAAGGACATTGTCGGTGCGACGATTTGCGCTTGTTACAACCGGGAAAGAGGGGCCACTTGCGTTATCAAGGGTGCACTCACTATGGTAACACGGCCCGAACCCTAGGATCTCTAGGGCTGCTTTCAATGACTTGGTGCCCGTTCTTCCGTAGTTGGGGCACACCACTTGCAAGGTGCCTTGTTTTCCGGAAGCACCAGAAGCCTACAATAGCGTACGAGAAAGAGTGACAGAGAGGAGGGACGGCAGGGGTTGGGGCTCACTTGTGGCTTGCCTGTAGTCATGTCATCACTGAATACGCATCCCTTCGGATGGAGAGAAGCCGTCTCTCCCAACGGAGCACACGGCGGAATTCCAGATGTTCTTTGCGCTTGGGCAATACTTTGCACAAAATATTATGGCATTTACTCCCTGTCGACCTTTCTCTAGGGCTTCAGGGTGACCATTTCTGTCCTCCACGGGAGACAGCGGGCAGGGGGACTTTGCCGGAGGCAGACAACTTACAGTACAACAAAAAACAGGCAAAGGCGAATGAAGAATCGACAGATGAAAATCGCCTCATCCAGCTCACCAAAACAACCGTTCATGTTGATCAGACAGGCTACCGAGAGAGAGATATGCATAGACGGACAGAGAAGGTCACGCACCTATCACTTCTGAAACCGGTCAAGAGAACGTTGTACGGTGTTTCTCACGCAAGAAAGTGTTTTCCTCTATGCCACGCCAGAGTGGCATTGACGGGATGCATTACGAGAGGTTTCTAGGTATCCCAAACCCCAGAGAGGGCGAAAAAGCGGATCACTCGACAAGTTGTGCTGGTGATTCGCGGTCAGGAAAGCTAAACCGGTTGCACAAGCAACGGGACCCATAGAGATTGCACCAAACGACCGACAGTCTCCATCCATTCTTGGAAGGGTTGGGTCAACGCCAATACACCCGATCGACAAGCAACGGGGAAGGAAGGAATGGGACCATGACCGACTCAGTCAAGTCCAGCCTCCGGTAGTCGCCACTGAAGCTGCACTGCATAAATAATATTGCATCCACATTCATTGTCTCGAAGAGGGTAGTTCTTCGTTGATGGACGGTTCATTTTCTGTGACGTGAGTGGGAGAAGGCAACGACTACAAATACTCTTGTATCAATCGACCAGAGGGACAGGACAACCTAACTTGCTCTAGACGGCCCTGCGGACTCACTTCACAAGTCATCCCAGATCATTTCAAAACGCCTAGGCCGATCGCAGCGACGGCGACAGCGACGAACAAAATCAAGGAAGCTCGGCGACCACCCGCAAAATCATACGCCCACCACACCTTTGTGGTCTTGGTGGGAGTCGAGGAACTGGGCGAGGGGGTGGCGAAGAGCTGACAGACAGAAAGGCGAGAGAAGGGAAGGGGGCGGGATGGGTACGGAATTTTCGGGAGTCCAAGGTAGGTGCACGTCAAAGGTCAGTTTCGTGGGATTATCCATTACTGCACTTCCGCCAAGTTGCTCGTGCCCTCCGAAGTGTCTGTCCCATCTAGCTTCACGTATGTACTTGTGTACTGCTCTTGAATGTTGTGAACATAGGGCGAGTGATAGGTCCGTTGGGTCCTTGGATCGGAACATATAGGAGTGTCGTGTGGCGGAGCAGATGGCAGTAGCATCCACTCAACATGAGGAATTGCGTTGAATGCTATGCATACAAGGAGGAAAAACAAATAACATGGACGCGTGCCGTGGAGGAGGAGGAGGTGGAGGTGGGGAAACTTGAGGAGTGTGTGACGTCTACGGGGTTTGGTACGCTACAAGGCAATGACAAGCATCGAGAGAAAAGTTCGCTCTACGACTGCAGGCGGTGGATGCAGATGGTGGCAACATCAGGCGGCCGAAAAAAGGGGAGGTGTTATAGCGAAACATGCTCGTGAAAAATGCTACAAAAACCGAAGTCGAACATCACCCGACTACGGTGAAGACTTTATCTATGACTCTACGCGCAGCATGGACGGTGACTCATCTCGAAAACGAGTGTCTACGGCACAACAACGCACGGACGAAAGCAACAAAAGGGGGACACCAAGCCCTCCCCCATTACGCGGAGTGGAAAGGTTTAAGGTTTACGTCGACGTTCGGTTCTTCATGTTTTAGGCGTGCTTGCCGTTCAAGCTTGAAGCCTTTGCTTCCCACCATGTCTTCCTCGAAGTCATGATGGTGTTGGTGTCGGTACGGGAGGCGCTTACCGGGGGTTGCGCTCCAAAAACGGTCGACATGGTGCCCACTAACTCCACCAGGTTGTGAGCGGCGCTCCAGCCTTGCAAGTAGGGCAGGGAGACTAAGCCGGTTTCGTCGACACTTTGATGGCCAGCTCTCAAGGACATACCTAATGTTGGTTGGTTGATCAAAAGGCAAAGCCGGATGGGTTGCCCGAACGCCAAAGAAGGGAGCACACCACCACGTGGCTAAGGTTGTGGCATGGTTAGGCGAAAAAGCGGCTGCCATGTGCCCGCGTTCGAGCAAGGATGCGGTCTGTTAGAGTAAGAGTGAGGCAAGGCGAGAGAGGGCGGCGGTGGCGGCGTTGACAGCAGCAAGTTGCCCTCGACCGCAGAAGATGAAGAGACATGGTAGGGCCGGGTGCCGCGCCATCCTTGAAGTTCGTGCGGTGCTTGTACATTTGACTTCGCATTAAAAAAAGATCGGTATCTGCTCAGGACCTGTTAATTTCCGTCACGCTGGTCCAGCTGACGCGGACACCTTCCGTGGTCACAGGCCAATCACCCCAAAAGGGGTACACAAACTATCAACACAGAGAAGCACCAGATATGGCTGTGATGAGATAGGCCCATGGTTACAACAGAGGGGCTTCAGACACGATCTGTTTTGGTGAAAAGAAGGGTACATGTTCCTAACCCTAGAAGGCACGGTCAGTACGACCGACGAGGTCTAGGGGGGTCTGGTGCGCAACGATTAATAGGTCTGACACGCAACGCTGCGCCACACAGCGCGCGGCGTACGAAGTGCGGGTCGATGCGACGTCACTCTCTCGGTGCCAGGAGTGGTAAACCACCGCAAAAATCAGCCACACCCTGGCAGCCAGACAAACATGGGAAAATTCAGCGACGTAGAAATGGCGGCACAACCATGGGCAAAGGGAAATGGCAACAAAAAATTGAACTACGGGCAAAGGGATAAAAACAGAACTGCCGGGCAATCGACAGCTATTGCAAACAATATCCACCACTATCCGTTCAGGGGCCAATTCGAACTACTTAGCGCCGGTTCTTACCGTCCCCAGCACAAGAGCTAGCTAGCTAACGATTTCCGTGAGTGATTCCGCCGCGTTGCGGTGCACGAGAATCGTCCATACATGTACGTCTCTCCAGTACCCACCAGGAGTGGGTATGATGTAGCAAACCGGGGGAGAAGCAGGGTAGCTCTCCGTGATGTAGATCTGAACACAAGAAAGATGAATAAAAGGCAACCCGCGGAATGACACCGAGATCGGAGAGAGACGGGGGCATTGGGGAATAGTGTGAGTGCACCCAATGCTTTGGTTTACATGAAGGCATATTGCCAAACAAAAAAATTGTCGCCGCAGGGGAAACAGACGCAGAGCTGCTGAGCATAAGAACATCATACAGAGAAATGGCTGCAGTATTGAATAGGGGGAGGCCCGAACTCGCGGCAACAAATCTGAGAAAATGAACAAATGAACAGACAACACGATGAAAAACGTATCATCGGTGACCGGAAAAAACAACCAAACAAAAAACAGGTTTGGTACGTTGCGCATTTTCAGAAATGTTTGCACATCGAAAAAGAAAAGAAAAAAACTACCTCCTGGTTGTGTCTTGAAGGGATGAAGACAAATGTATGTTCCCGACACGAAATCTATGTAAAACTCATGTCGTCTACCTACCTCAATATATGCGAAACGAAGACATACAGCCATTTTTTGCTTACCTGCACAGGGGTGAAGTACTGCGCGTTGCGGAACACCATGGGAAACGTCCCGTGTAGCGTCAACAGCTCCGTTCGCCCAGATTCCAAATCTGCCACAAGGAACGGCGAAAGAAAGATGAGCGACGACAGCGACGAAATGGTAAAAGCGGCGAGGGGAGATCACATGCGCATGGGGGTGCGTCGCGAACGAATGATTACAACCGCCAAGCCCTCGACTGTACATGGAACACCGGTCCTTCCTACATTCCGCGATGAGCCGTGGGTGGCCTGCTATGGAAAAACGTCAGTTGGCACCTGGTCTTGGACTGGCCGCCAGAAACAACAAGTGCAGCAACAGCAGCAACAGCAGCAACAGCAGCAACAGCAGCAACAGCAGCAACAACTGCGAAAACAACAGCCGTTGTTGCGTAGAGTACACGTGTTGGCTCTTGGTGAGGGCTTACGTACTATAGTAACCAATAGACCCGTTCCCTGACCTCCAACCTAATCTGCACAAAACAAAAATTAGAGCACTCCAAGCCAAGAAATGAGCGATACATGGTGCGCCGGCTGTACCCTAACGAACGCCGTGGCAGATTTTTGGGGTGCCGCTCCGTTCTGGCGTTGTTTGGGCGTATTCCCACCATCAACGTACGACCCCTTGGGCGCATTGTGCAATACTGCTGCCGAGCGCGCTCGCGGTGCTCACCCACGCTCCCTCGCTTGGGGACCAGGGTCTTGCAGCTCTTGGAGAGCTCCAGCACATCACGCTGCACACGGTCCGGTTCCTGCTCGCAAGCATCATCATCATCATCATCGTCGTCGTCGGGAACGAAGCAGCAAGTGAGGTGTGCAAGCGACGACAGTTGTTGCGGCCAGAAAACCACACCCCACGCGCACAGTCAAGCATGAACGGCACGATCATCGCCTTGGTCCTTGTCGTGGAGGTATTGTGTTTCCTCCCGATATGCATGCAAATGCATGAGTATGTCAGGGAGATTTACATGCCCATGTAGACAGTAGCCAATTTCTATTCCTTCTGTGTTCGCTGTTGGCAACACGGGCAATAGTAGGAGTAGTACCCAAGCTATGACAGTACGATGGCATGAGCGCGAAAATCTGTAGTATGCCATAGAATGGGTATCAGCAACTAGCAGTAGCTAGCAGACACGTATAGTTTAAAGAAGAGCAAGAGACACGTTCACGTACGGGACTGTCAGCGAACGGTCAGAATAGTAAGTTTCTCGGGGGAACTCACCCATAGCCGGTTGGCTAATTGGGGTCCCCGACCGTAGATATTGTTTTTATTGTTTTTAGTGATGGCAGGCTGGCTCGTGCGCCTCTCTCTCTCACTCTCATCTTCCACCATCAAAACCTGGCCTTTGGTTAGCCAGAAACAACGACATCAACGACATATTACATCTCATTGTTCCGAGGGTCACTTAGTTACGTAGCAGCACGCAGCAATGTTCCGCCTCTCGCAAATATCAGGCTGTCTTGTGGTCTATAAATGACCGTTGATAGGTTTTTGTGTAGGGGTTCTTAGCAGGCCCACGAAAGATGCCCAAGTTCGTATGTGGCGTTTTTAACTACAAGTGTCTTAAAAAGGGCGCGCGTTATCTGTAGGTCACAATACCAAAATACTATACGAAGAGCTCTCTGACAAAAGGTCCAGCTGAACGTACAGTAGTAGGTGCCAGAGATGCACTACAGAACGCGCCACCACATAAGAACTTAGAATTGAACAACTTGTGCCAAAAAGAATCAAAATCTAAGAGATGAGATTGGTCACAACAACTGGTGCTCAGTCAAGAAGGTTACACTAAACCCTATATATATAGTCACCATGGAGGTAGTGTACCCCATAGACAAAACAAGAAACGAGCCTCGGCCATGATAAGAACATGAGAACGACGTTCTCAAGGTTGGTGGCGTGTTCTGTACACCACTTCTACGAGAAGAACCGCACGGTGGAGCAAAATAAGAATGTTTTTCGTAGATGAGACGCGCTGCATTTCCTCCGCTCTGGTTGTGGCTTTCGAGTGTTCCACGACCTGGCTCCATAGTCGATACATAAAAAGAACGTCTTATTTTCTTCATGGGGTTATCCTATCTGCTGAAGGTAGGTTTTAGTTTAGGATTCCTACCCGGGCACCTATCATTTTTGGTCGCGTTCTGAAGGCCTGAGCTTCTTCGAGCCTGCGGTTCTTTCAACACTCCCGTTCTGCTGTTCTTTTGCAAGTGTCGGCGCCTTCTGTACAAGGACGGACGCGGGCGAACCATCCACGAAAATACACTAACGGCCAAGTTCGAGTGCATCTCTGTTGCTTCCCTAAACAACGACAGCTGTAGCATAAGAATACCAGTAGTCCACAGCAGTCGTCCCCGCTTCAAAGACACTCATCTTACGTCAAATCCCCGCTTTAAGGACACACAAAAATTTCAGCAGCAGGATGCCCCAACGGTATTTGGTTCCCGGAACGGTTCCGTAATGGTTCCGGACTGGTACTAAGGTTCTTCGTAGTTTCGTCGGTAATCGACAAAAAGGCTGACCAGGCAGAGCGCTCGCCCAGCTCAACAACATGAAAAAATTGTAACATATTTTTCATTTCTCTTTCAACCAAATTTCTCATTTGGTTGTAGACTCACGTCTACAGCGTACCTCCGCACACCTGTGAACAAGGTGTGGCACACCTTTCTTTTACCATACTTGCTCACTGCTGCTACAGCCGTAGCACAGGTCACTTGAACAGTAGACTACTGACTTGCGTCATCAACCCATTATCTTGTTTTCAGTGAGAGCCTCTTTTCAGGAGGCATGATGTTTGCTGAAAAGAACACACAAAGCAATCTAGAACGAGCAAACCAGGGAACTGTTGTTGACTACACAGCAGTCAGTCTTAGCAGACCCGAAGTCATTTTTCAACAAAACAATACAAAATGACATTTTCATTATTCGGGACTCCCGAAGTAATGCTGCAGCACGCACACACACCTGTAGGACTTCATCTCGGCAAGGTTTTCAAGGTGGGGACGACACCACAAGGTAATACAGTCAACAACAACTACAACGCATATTCTGTTACTGAAACACCTCGTCCTGCAGCTCTGCACCCACGGTTCTGAAGTATAATGTGGGGTGAAGTGCTAATTGACGTTCAACGGCGAACGACGTGATAAACAAGTACGTGCAACTTTCAACGACCTCCATGTTGTGATCGTCAAGTTCAAGATGGTGTCGTGCTACAGTATCCTGCTGCGATCGCGCGTTCTAAGGCGCATGTTACGCCGCCGTTGACCCCGGGGACGGCGAGGTATCACCCCCGTAAACCCAAAGACTCTTCCCCGTGACACTTTCAATGATATGTGTCTTTAAAGCGGGGTCGACTACTGTACTCCATGTCGTCTCTTCTTGCATACGCACAGATAACTCTCATGGTTGTAGTGGAGATGGGCGGTGGGTTGTGACTTTCCCCTTTTGTTCCCATGTTTTCCCTCCAAGGACGGGCAGCAGCATGTATTAGTAGTAGCACAAGCAGAACGAATTCGATTCGACCCCTCATGCGACCCGCACCGGAATAACCCACGCATACTGCTGCAGAGCGCCTCTTTCCTGCCGTGTGCAGCTTTCCTTGGCCGTCAGATGCATGGACTACATACGTCGATGTTGCGTGCATGTGTGCTGCTGTGTATGTACGCATGGTTCGTGTGTTCTCACGTGTTTTGCGGAGAGTTTGGGGGGTTCTAAAATCACGCACCTCCCGAGGCGTGCCGGATGGTTTGATATACACATTCGACCAAGACATCACTGCTGTCCTGCGCGGAGAAGAGGGTACCAAACAGCGCCCGTGAACCTGGCTCCATCATGAAGGTCATGTGCATTGCATACTGTAGGTTAGTACAGCAGTAGACTTCATACCGCACGCAGCTGCTGTCTGACCATGCCCGTGTCACGAAAAAACCCGCCGCAGCGTGTTGAACCGCCAAACCTCGAACCTCGAGGACTAACGCTAGCGACAACGACGCAAGGATGCGCAGCATGGGTCTACGAAACCTACACTGCCGTATCCAGTTTCGATACACAAGCTATTTTTGTGGGCTAGGGGCAACCGCTCGCCACACAATCGCACAAGATACGAAACGCGCAACGAATCCCGTGCCCAGTCTGCCACTGCTGTTTCCAACGGCAACCGCGGTGCATGTGCATGCGAGCATGCATATGCCTCAGCGAAACAGAAGGCCTTGCCTATCATGCCACCTCACCTGGTAGTTGGGAAACGCCTCTACGAGCTCGGCCACGTTCACCGTGATCCCGGCCGAGACGCTGGGAGCTTTGAGTCTTCCGTTGGAGAGCGACGACATGATGGTGATGGCAACCCCCCTCGCGCTGCTATTGGGGATTGGGGCCTATCCAAACGCGCTCTTTCTCAAGAGGGTCACGAGTCACGTATTTTCTCGACAGCTTGTGCCCTGGCCCCGGTGCCTCACACCTTTGAAAGGTGCCTTGTTAATCTTCAAAGACTTGAGGTGTAGGTGTGTATACTATACTCCTGTGCCGGCGTCGTTCCCCTCTCCCTCGCTCTCTTGCGGACCCTTTCACAGCAGTTGTATGCTGTATGACGTCCCAGAGAACAGAACCGTGCCCATGCCAGGCGAAGGAAGGGGGGTGGGGGGGGTGGGATTCTTCTGTGGACCCCCCTTGGATTGCGTTCATGCACGATATATCCATCATGCACGATGATTCTTCGAGGAGGGAGGTCGGTGTGGCACTATAGCAGCAATACTGGTGGTAGTAGTTCACTCTTCGCAGACGCAAGATGCTACGTACGGGATGATTCTCAAGGGTGGGGGTAAAAACAGAGCACACTTGCTTCGTGTCATCATGTGCACAGCAGCAGCAGTAGCAGCTGAGCAGGACCAGAGTACCGGGGCCAGCGTCAACAGGTGACGAGGAGGATATCACGACATACACCAGTTGTCATCGCATGCCTGCGGCCAGACAATATGCGCTGCGCGAACGCCCCCTGGATGCTCTGTACTAATTTCAAGTGATAGGCCTGAGGTTTCCCCAAGAGAAAATAACGCGATGATAATTCAAGTGTTGTCAAGGGTTGTTGTTGTTGGTGTCCGTTCCGTTCTCTCTGCCTAGTACCTTCTTCTGTCCGTACTAGTTTAACACTTGACGGGGTCGATTCCCGTGGTCACAGGCTAACTTACCCAAAAAAGGGCATACGAAAATAAAATGGATCCGAAAGGTCCACAAGCCAATAAAAGTCAACGACAGATAGTGTAGGCCACTCCGCTCGCCTCTCTGCACTCTATGCGAGGTAACCCTAGATTGGAAAAAGATAGAAAGTAAAAAGAAAAAGAAAAGGAAAAAGAAAGAGAAAAATAACAAGAAAAAGAAAGGAAGAGAGCAGATGGAGAGGAGCAAAGGGAAAGAGAAAGACACAGACAGAGAAAGACACACGCCGTAGCGACAAACAACAAACAAACAGAACAACACAAAACAACACAAGACAAAGCGGGCCACTCGAGCCACAGCCTATGCACGTCATCGCTCGCGGGGGGTTGGTGCCATGGTGCAGTGCCGGGGGGGGGGGAGGGGGATACGTCAAGCAAGAGGTTAATTTCGGCACAGTGTTTGCCGCCACTCGGTCCGCCTCTTCGCGTTTCCTGCCTTTCCTCGCCGTCTCGTCCGCCTGCTGTCCCCCTCCCACCCCCGCCCGTGGTTGTTGCTGTGTCCGTGTTGTTGTCGGGCTTCTTGTTTCGTTTGAGCGCTCGTTGTCGGCTAGCCTCCTCTTCCTTCTTGTGCCAGGAGGCCATGAACCTCTTAGCTCCCTGCAGTACCCCTGTATGCCACGGTACCCCCGGTCCACCTCCATCCAAGTTGTTTCCGGGACTACGAAGAAGCATGGCTCGGCGTCCGTAGATCCGTGCTCTGCTTCGAACATCTTGAGGTCGTACTTCAGGCACATCTGCCAGCTTTGCTCCGGTTTCCCCCTGCCTGGACCCTCCCCCCCCACCAATTCGCCAAGCATCACCCGTTTCGGGAGTCGTCCGTCTGGCTGCCTTACCAGCACTCCCGCGAACAGCAGGCGCCCTTGCCGGATAGTGGTTTCCACGCTCTGGCACCCTACCCTCTTCAGGGTCTGGGCGTAGGAAAGCTGCCGGTAGGTGCCCTTCTTGCGTTGGTAACCGATAACTCGCAGGAGCAGTCGGTGGTGTATATCGTCCGCAACGTCCGGTATTGGTCTTGACGTGGGGCCAATGTCATGCAGCCGTACAGCAGTGCCTCGAAGAGCTCCTGGCCATATCTCCTGACGCACACCCACGCTGCTCTGCTCCGGTAATTGATCTCCCGGTACACGCGGTAAAAAATACGGACACATATGCCACCACCACCACCCCCCGGGAGGGGGAAGAAATTCGGAATGTACCATGAATCGTCGAAATTTACTATGAGAGGTTACAGTAGTAGTAGATGGATCGTAAACGTGCCTCACGCTCGTTACCCGTTCTGCATCTACCTCCTCGTCATCGATGCCGCAGCCCATATTCACCCAGCCGTGCTAAATACCACAGGAACACACGGAAACAAGCAGCCTAGTTCGTGTAGCGCTAATACGAACCTGGGCTGTTGCTGCTGCTGCGTGCAATGTCTCTCGGCCGTTCGTTATTCGCTTACAAGTTTGGTTTGGGATCAGCGAGACTTTCGTTCTGCTTCGATCAGCCAGAGATTTCTGTCCGATGTGTTTGTTATATGAATATGTATGGGTGTGTTTACTTTAATTGATTATTTTTCAGGTTTAGGGAGTACCGGAACGTTCATTGTAAGCTGTCTTTCTTGCATCACGTAGTGAAGGTTTTCGATCGTTGACTCTTGGCCAAAACGATAGTATTACAATGAATATATATGGGCGTGTTTAATTTAGTTAATTATTTTTCAGGTTTGGAAGAGTACATATCTACCAAGAGAGTACAGTAGTAGTAGTTACAGTACAAGTAGTAATCGATCAACGCTCGAAATCATTCCAATTCAATTGGAACAGGTCACCACCTGCCTTGCAAACTTGCCCTTGCCGCCTCCTCTGGCACTGCACAATAGGGAACAAAGCCTCGCAAATCTACTCGTTGCCTTGGTCTTCTTGTTGTAGTATTTTGTTACTGGACCAATCGGCCACACGGGCGACTGGCGGGCTATCATAGCGGCTGCTCCTGGGGTATGCATGCGAAGATTGCGAAGATGACCCTGTTGTGTGCGGGGTGTCTGTCATCTCTCGGGGATCTCCACAGCTCCAAAGCGCCAGCAGCGCCAGTGGTGATGCGCACCATGCGAGAGCGGGACGCGAAAGCACCGAGGCCTCGGCAGAAAACCCGGAAATACAAGGGTATATCCCCCCCCCCCCCCCCAAAGGATCCTGAAACGCCCACGGGGCCCCGCGGAAAACCCGGGGAAACCTGGTTAAA